ATTTAGCATTTTTTTTTATCCCACCTATACAAAGGCAGCTCTGGGACAGTGGGTAAAATAAAGCACTGCATGCCTTTCCTGAAGTACCTACCTTTTTGTCTCAAATGAAGTGGTCAGTATTTAAATGTCTGCTCTCTGTGTAGTCAATATTCAATACAATAGAAAGCCATGATCAATGATGCAAGTGATAAACAGGTCAAGTGCTCAAGGTCTGAGATGATGGGGAATATTAAAGGCTTTTATTGGATTTCTCTATTGGTACATGTATTTATGATATCTGTTTATGTGGTTGTTAGCATTAAGCCAGTTAGAAGTACATGTATATAAAATGGGGTTTTCAATAGTCAGTGTAAGTTATTTACTTACTACATGCAAACCAGGCTTATATTTGCAACAGCTTTTATTTACAATTCATCAATTTGATTTATTATGATAGATTTTTGCAACTGAGGAATTATTCTTCATGTATACATATATGTGCCATTAAATAAATGGTTTGCAACTAGGTGAATTTGTGAGTAAAAAAAGTGTTTGGGAAACTCATTGATATTTTGGGCATACAAATAAAATTTCAAGATAAGTAGAAATGATGCATTTCTCTATGGTACATGTTGTACATATGCTTTCTTGTCTGACATTTCATATGATAGGGCACTTTTGTATTTAAAATTGAATTTATATGATTTAGTGTTGTGAATCTTATCCATAATGAGATTAACAAGTATACTGTAAACCAAATATTATTCGTGTCATCTTTTATTCCTGATTCGTCAGTTTGAAATCAATCCATGATGATTAATGTTTGCAACTAAGGAAACACTCTACAAATACAAAGTAAAATAGATGATGGTTCATGGCGATTAATATTCGCGAGTTAAAGTAGGTCTCTAAAACTCGCGGATATTTCTCCCACTCGAATAAAAATTGGTTTACAGTACTTAATATGTACATAAGGGAAAAATTGCTTTTAATCAGTAATGAAAATTGATGATATTAAACTTGTAATCAGTTATCTTACTAACTGTATTGGACTAACTGTATTGGATAACCTGAGATAAATAACCTTTCACAAACATTCTTGTTCTTTCTAGGCCAGATTTTGCTGCTGCATGGATGAATCTAGGGATTGTGCAGGCAGCTCTGAAGAAGCAAAAAGAGGCAGAACAGAGCTACCATACGGCCCTCAGACATCGCAGGAAGTACCCTGACTGCTACTATAACCTAGGAAATCTTGTAAGTGATTTAATGTTAATTATTATATCCTGTACTGGCAAGCAGCCTAAAATATAATTCCAAAGTATTATTTGATTCCAGAAAGGAAAGCAGATTTATGCTCTGTTGGTTTCATGTTTTGGTTTAATTCAGACCCAAATGATAAAAGATTGTTGAATTATTCAAATTTTATGATTCACTTCATTGAAAATGTTATTTTACATGTAAATGTATGTTGTATATCATATAACAATTGAAGTGGGCAATTTTAATTGAGTCTATAAGCTCACCTAACCTAAAGTGCCTATGAGCTATATTCCAATTGAAATTTGATTTTTTGTCTGTCATGATTATCTATCTATTTTTAGTTACATACATGTATTGTTTCTAAGAAGAAGGTATGGTGTAGGCTTTATTGTGCCCTAAAATTTAATGTTCTTTAAAAGTATTGAAAATGGCTTTAACATGAGTTGAGTAGATGAATATGATAAATCATTAAAGAATATGGCATGAAGGAGGACTGATCTGGAAAAATGACATCATAAATTTGATAAATTTCTTTGTTTTATGCAGAAAAGCCTCAAAATGACTAATTTCTGTGATTATTTTCCTCTAGAAAATAGTGAACTTCAGTTTTTGGATATATTGTGCAAAATGCTTTGAAAAATCACATATCTTAAAATTTTTGTGGGCGATGCTGGCACTGTAAGTTTTCTGAAAGAAAATTCCACTGAAAATTGATGTCTTCTGCAACTTTAAAAGAAAATATGGGAAAATGCACAAGTTCATGACGTCACAGTTAACATTTAGGAGGTCATATTGGAAAAAAGATTTATATGTTTTTACTGCATGGAATTTCAATAATTCAGAAAGGATGGATTTTAATTTCTTACATCACTTCTTAATTTTAGAAAAATACTGGGCCATATTTGTATTGAAACTGTACCTTGTTCTTTGTCATCTGTAAGATTCTAAAATTTCTTTCTTCCTGTCCAGCACCACAAAACAATTTCATTCAAACTTGGGGTTGTAAAATTTTTTGTTCTCTTTAACCATCAGATTTAAGTTGACAAAAAATACTTCATGGCTTTTTTGTGTAGTTTTAATGTTTCTCAAAATCATGAATGTCTAAGCTAGAGGGAGACACATTTAAGTTTGTTTTTTACTTTCTCTCCAGTACCTGGACATGGGGCAACACCAGTTAGCATTAAGTGCCTGGAGAAATGCTACCCTTCAAAAGCCAAGCCATCTTAATGCTTGGAGTAATATGGTCATCTTGCTGGATAATCTAGGTACATGTACATACAGTTATTCATAACTTCAAGAAATACTTATTAATTTCCATTTGTGTAATTCCCGAGTTTTATCTCAGATTGAAAAAAAAGACTGCTAAATAAGTAGAACAAAGGAGGGGTGGGGGAGCGGGCATATTCTTAGTAATTGTAATAACGTTGAAGAGGAGAATTTCCTGTTGAATGATTTACTTGAAAAAATACGCATGTATTTTGATGTACATTTATAAACTTAAGAAGTAACTTTGAAGTCAGTGAAGAAAGACTTGTTTACATGTATATGCATGTAGTTGCCAAAGATACCCATATACTGATGTTTCTTTGAGCCAAAAGGTTAAAGGTTACAACTACATGTAGTGTCCATATGATTTTTACAGTGGTGCAAAGTAGCAAGGAGAGAAATTGCAGAGATGGGATTTAAATTGATCAATTAATTCTTTAATAAAATATTCAAAGAATTTAAGAAATACTCTGTTTACTTTGTTAGTATATATATTTATGTGGTGCTTTAAAACTGAAGTATTTCTTCTACAAGAATTAATTTGAAATCAAGGTCCTTTTCTTTAAATTCTGCTGTCATGTAATGATTTATTTTTTGAAATGAGCAATACATTTAAGCAATAACTTGATTATACATTGGTTTGTTCTTGTTCACAGTTATTAAAGGAAAAGCTAAGCATATTATTTGATTAGTATCATCATATTAATTAACTGGAGTAAATTTTCTGATGTAGAGAAACTAGAGCAGGCAGAGCTTGTGGGTAAGGAGGCAATCAGGCATGTCCCCAATGACCCCACCCCCTACTTCAACCTCGCTAATGTCATTGGAAAAGCAAATAGATACCAGGAGAGTGAGCAGTACTTTCTAAAGGCCATACACCTCAGTGGAAAATCTCCAGCATCCAAGATGTATGCCAACTTAGGTAAGATTATATTCATGTAGCTCAATATAAAACTATAGCAGCTACATGTAATATGTGATATATAATTGAACCTGATAAACATTTCTCATGATAAATGCAAAACATGATGATGAAAAACATGATAAAAGATGCAAATCTGATAACTGAAAAGAGGATACAACAGGATACAAGCAGGATAAGATAGGATAAACATTATGGTAAAAACGATTTGGGCTTCAATATTAAGATGTCCAGTATGTAGCCATGTTGTTCTCTATAATTTAAATAATGTACATGTACACTATATATATATCTGTTTCATTCTTATAGGTGTACTTTATCATCGCTGGGAGAAACCAGCTGAGGCAGAGAGGGCGTATCTAAAGGCACTGGAAATAGAACCAGCCAATCAGAGCGTCTTACAGAATCTACAGATGTTACTCCGAAAATACAACAGAAAAGGACACTCTTAGCGTATCGTTAAGTTTGTTATACACTGTTTTCTACAACAGAGTGACACAAAATGAAATATCTTCTGTGGTAAAATGGATAGCTGATTAATTTACGCATCAAACTACCAAGGAATGGAATTGTGGTATAATGAAGATGATGTCTAATATAGCCAATATCTGGCTTTGTCTACAAAGATTGATGTTCAATCAGATATCAGTTTCTGCCAATTATTGAAGAGCTGCCATTCATGTAGTACCCATAGCATATCTAGTACATGTACATGCATTCTTAATATGCATAATTCAGCAAAACAGAAGTCGCTAGTTTAGAGAAGAAAAATTTACTTATTTAAAATATTTCTTCATCTCCAGTAATATTAAGTCAGGGTTATTGAATTGTGTTTGTAAAAGGCAGATAATGTGTTTTTTGAGATAGGTGCAAATGACATAGTTTAACCTCAATATCTTGCACTCAGGAAAAAAAGAGCACTTGGAGATATTTAATTTTTCTGGGAAAACCATGCAATTTGAAACTTTATCCATCTTTGGCACACTGAAGTCAAACTACATGTATCCCAGTACCAGGAATGTCAATATATCAGCATTAGAAATATTTAAATTAAGCTGGTTATATATTGCATATCTGTTCATTACATTCCATCAATACTTTTGTTTTTTAAAGGAAAGTTTTCACATTTTACTTGCATTTTTTTTAAAATATACATAATGTACATGAATGATTTAGAATTATTGTTGAGAGAAAATTGCTTGTTAGATCTAAAAATCCATTTAAGTTTTCCTGTTATTTTGAAGATTATCTCTGTGATGTTTGAAGAAGATACCAGTAGCATTCCATTTTTGATATACATATATATGAGTGGTTGTGGATATACACACATTTATTTTTTCTGTTGTGTTAAGCTCACAGAGTGCTTTTTCATCTGCGGTAACAGGGCTTTTTGGTTGGTCTTGTTTTGACTTTTTTTTGTTGTTGTCGTTGCGAAAGTTGAATACTTTGTTTTTTCCATTTTGCATAATGATAAGAAGTACATTGCAATTACAGGGCTTAGCACTGAAAGATCTTGTATAACACATCTGGTTTTTTTTTTATAATAATAGCCATAATATTTTTGTAAAAATATATGAATTTACCATTATTCTTAAATAAATTGAATGTTATCATATCTTGGAGTCCTATTTCTGGTAAAGTCTGTTGCTCAAAAGTCTTTGTGAAGCACAGAAAATCTGTGGGCAAATGCTGTATATTTGTCCCCCAATATCACTGAAAGTGGGGGGTATGATATGTGGTCTGTCCCTCTGTCTGTCATTCTGTCTGTGTGTAACACTATTACATGTTTCCGGATGATATCTCAAGAGGCCTTGTGCCTTGTAGCTTTTGCAATGAAGTTTTGTACTCCCTATGGTCTAAAGAAGACCCTGAATGATTTTGAGGTCAAAAGGTCATGGTCAGAAATTTTACATTCTGTCTGAGAGGAACACTTGTTTCCGAATAATATCTTGAAAAGCCTCTGGGCTTTTGCAATGAAATTTAATATCAGAACTCAGTATGGTCTTAGGAAGACCTCTATTGATTTTGAGATCAAAGGTCATAAATTCACACATTATGTGTGTAACACTTTTGTTCCCAGGGGATATCCTAAAAAAGCCTCTGAGCTTTTGCTATTTGAAATTTTATATCACTTTCCTATGACCTAAGGAAGACACCTACACTGTATTGATTATGAGGTCAAAGGTTGAGATCAGTATATTCATACATTGAAAATAACGGTTTCTAGATGAAAACTTAAGTTCTCTATGAGCTTTTTCAATGAAGTTATGCATGTATATCATAACCCTTAGTGACTTAGAAAAAAGACCCCTATTTACTTTTAAGTCTAAAGGTCAAGATCAGAAATTCATGCAATGCAAAAAATGGTTTCTGGATGATAACTTTAGTTTTCTTTAAGCTTTTTTTTAATGAAATTTTACATCATAACTCCCAGTGACTTTAAGAAGTCCCCTTTTAATAAGGGAAAGTAACAACAAGAAATACATGAAATTAACCCTAAATCTAAACCCCAGCAAGAACCCCACATCCAGTCAATGAAATGACTTTAACACATATCATGATAATGATCTCTCACTCATCATAATCTATGGGATACACCCCATGTTTAACAATGTATGGGAAATAATGACTTATTGTCAATATCCATGGGATTTATCCCATTTGAGCAAATTTGTGGGAGAAAAATCCCAATGGGAGAAAATATCCCACCTGACACTTTTTCTCACATGGGAGAAAGGTGGGATAGTTGTTAGGACTAATAATCCCACCATTCTCCCATGGGATTCTGACTTTTAGGACTTCATATCTTTAAAAAAATTATATTTGAGAGTTCAACATGAGACCAGTAGATATTGCTAAGAAACCCCACCAAGTGCTATAATTTATTTTTGGACATCACAATTAGAAGTGGTAGTAAAAGTCTGAACAATGTCGTGTCCGGAGTTAAATGTCGCGTTGTTATATTGCATATACATAGTTTTCACATGACAACTTTAGTTCTCTGTAAGCTTTTGTAATGAAACTTAAAAAAGACCCCTTCTGACTCCAAGGCCAGAAAAGGTCAAGGTTGATATTTTTCTTTCTTTCTCCATCTGCCTATTTTTTTTCAGTTCTTCCAACCTCTTCTCTCCTCCTTAAGCGGGGGACACAAATTCTCTAACTTGTTCTTCGTAATGACTCCAGTGCCAAATGTGTACGATAATACTTTAACATAGATATTGATGTTAAGCAAGGTTGAAATAACGTCATGAAGTACTTAGTTATATGGATTTTTTTAAAATTTTTAATGACATGTTCGTGGACATGCTATTTTCTTTAAATGACTAGATTATGTATACATTATATATAAATCAATGTCTGAGTAAATTGATATAAATTAAAACAATACACAGTATTTTACCAACGTCATCAGTATAAATTCTACGTACTACCTTTAAATAGTATTTTTATATACCGTATAGGACCAATTTCTAAAACTTAACAAAAGCGGAAAATGAAATCAGTTATCGAAATATAAAAATGAGAGACTAGGAAATCATGTATTTTTGATAAATTTTTGCATCTAACAACAATTATCTGAAGCTGGGGGGGGGGGGGGGTTTACACCATCCATTCGTCAGGTGTCTGTGGAAATATCCTGATTATTTCAGAATGTTATTTTATGATTGGACGTTGTTTTGTTCGCATGGCCGATATCGCTTTTCGACCTTTTCAGACACATTTCTTCATATTTCTATCTATCTGTCCAATAACTGATATAGAAAAAGACATCTGGAAATAACGACAACATTTTAGTTACTTCACAGTCACTTAATCCTTGCTTACCGGTACTTATGTTTTACAGAAAAAAATAAACATTTTATTCAAAGAACTTTATGACAAAGTTAATGACATTTCAACCCATTAAAGACAGCGATTTTTTACAAAACATTTAAGACCAACTATTTTAACTTGGATTTTCATTAAAAAAAATATTTTGCTATGCGGTATGTTAAACATGACAAAAACGTTAATGTCCACGAACTATTTTGGAAGTCTTTGAACATATGTACATTATTCATTCATTAAGTATATATTAATACTGCCTACAAATTAAGTAGACGCTATATGGAAAGTCCCCACACATACGTGTTTAAACAACATTAACAACTTTTACTAGGTCACTGTACAGGAATCAATGCAATGTTTATATTCATTGTCCACATTCATACTAAAGACTCTCTCCAAGAGAAAAAGTGACTCCACGCGCTGATCTGTTGAATACACTCGGATTTTCCATACTTCCGTTGCTTCTTTCACACGAAGATTCTAGATTTTCGTCAGACCATGTATTGTTGACGCCATTTTCTTTCTTTGTCCCTTTGTCAGCTGGAAGGTTTGCTTTAGAATGGCTTTTTGCTACACCGTAGTTCTTTGACGCTTGCCTCGGCTTGTACTTGAAGAAATAGAGTTCGAAACCCAGACACACGAGCGCTAGAGCAGCCCCTCCCGCGATTAGGATAAAAACCCCGCCAATATTGTTCAGACTAATGCCCTCGCTCTCATTTTCCAGTTTAGGACACTTTACTTTATTTTTATCCCACCATTTTTTCTTTAATTTTTCAAGCATTCGTTGATTAAGGAGCTGAAGTATCCTTTAGAGAATTAAAAAAAAATAATAATAAAATTCAAACCATCATGGCTAATTTATGTGTTGAAGACGTTACCCAGTACAATTTTTTTTTACTGTTTGAATACATGGTGAAAATGCAGCGCTAAAAAAAATCCGAAATGATCAAAGAAATTATGCATGCGACTCTACCTTTATGATTTATTTAGCGTTCTTGAAATTCTATAACCTACATGTATTTTGATTCAGTTGACGGAATAATGCAATGTTTCATAACTGTAACTATTATTTTGCTAAAATTTTACCCAGCCAAAATGATTCAAGAACTCTGGCTACCTATGCTTTTATGTACATGTACTCACGCAGTTGAGAGATCGTTCCTTAATGGCGACCCGTTCTGGACAGCCAGAGCAAAGGGTTTCCTGCTGAACTCCTCGCCAACTTGCCAGAGGTCGCAGTTCTCCATCGACCTCATCGTCTGATACTGGTTCTCCGCGGCATCTCCTATGTCCACAGGAAAAAGTGAATAAAAATTTTATCAATTAAGGATTCAATCAGTTTTAGAGGGGAAAATTCTCATGTTGCAAATTGATATTTTTATATGAAAGGTAGAGTTAAAAAAAGAGTTCTGGTCTAGTTTAAAATCGTCCTGTTTCATTATACCGTATGCGCACCCGAAGGTCTGCAATTAATGACATCTTGAATTCAATAAAGATTTCTTGGCCTTTCAAGTTAAGATAAATGTTAATGTCGATGGTCTACCAAAATGTTTTATTCACGGACATAGCCGAGTAGTACCACTGTCTACGGAAATTGACAAGTATATGTGTTTTTATATAGAATTCGTGTACTAGTAAATTGTACCTATGTATGCGAATGTCCCATTCTTTACGCTGGAGAGTGCTTCATCCAGCGAGTTTGGAAATCCCGAGAGTTTCATGGTTTCCCAAAGTTTGGTATACTTGTTACTGACCGGGTAATCCCACACCGCCAGTTTGGCTCTCTCTACAGGGTCTAAGGTATCGTCCAAACTCATATTCTTCCAAATACTGAAAAATCATGTTAAATTACCATTTCTAGTATTATAGAATTGTTAATCGCGAATTGTGGCATATTACTAGTATTCAAAACATTGCATCAGGTTTAAAATAAAATCTAGGAGATGACTACAAGGTCCGATATAGATTTCATGGAAACGCATTTATTTATGAAGTCCTTAACTTACACTAACTTTATCTATGACATACATTCAATGTGTAATTATAATCTTTTAAAGACCAAAAAGTGCATCATATTTTTTTGACTGAATTTCTGATCTGAATAGTACTTATAAGACCTTAATTTTGTAAGACCAGATCTTTTAAAACTTTCATTCACAGAAAAACTGTTTTCTGCATTTTCTATGAGATTTGCATCAAATCTATCAGGTTTCTTGCAAGTAGTATGCCTTTTTCGTGAAGCGTAGTACATATTTTAATACCTGTAAAATCTTTGTTCAATTTCTGCCATTCTCTGGAAGTACACCATAGCTGCACTGCCATTATGCGGTGCGTATTTAACAGTATGCTGACTGGATAGATCGTCTAAGGATTTGATTGGTTCTTCCAAACGAGACACAGTCAAAAACGCAGCTAGATTGGCTGTATATGTTGCTATGACAATGAACCCAAACAACCACCACGTAGCAGCAATAAGGCGGCCTGAAAGAGCTCGTGGCGCCTCACCTCCGCCTGAAATATATCACAGACATTTTCTGCTAGCGGTGGACTTGATGAAATCCATATCAATGTCATTCTTTAGAATAATAATGTCGTGCCTACCTTTTGAGGTATTTTGCATTATAATCACTATAAATAATCATATTTTTCAAATGTCAAAAAAACCTACATGTATTGACATACTTTTATTTAAATACTACAATTGGGGTGTTTTGCGGACAATTTTTGGTATATATGTACCACAAT